ATATTTAAAAAATAAATATTTTATGAATTTAATTAATAATAAAAAAATATATACTTTTTACTTTATTTTTTAATTAAAAAAAGTTTATTTATAATTAACTAAAATATATATATAATTTATTATCATTATTAACTAAATTATAATAAACTATTTTTGTTTAATAACTTATAAACAATTAATTATTTTTATATTGTATACTATTTTATTAAATGCTATTAAATTATTACAGTTTTTCAGTTAATTTATTTAAAAAAATGCTATTGTTTTTTTAATTAAAATCTATTTTATGTATAATTTTATTTCAAAATTAATGTAAAAATTGTGTGTATTTTAATTATCAATCAAGTAATAATAAAAATATAAATAATATATTTAAACATAAAATAAGTTTAATAATAATAATACTAATAATAAAATTAATACTATTTTATATCAAATATAAACTGCACTATTTGTGCACAAAAAATAAATATAAACATAATATTATTGAAATAATTATTTTTAACTAAATCTTAATAAATTAAATTTGTAAAAAAAATTTCTATAAGTAATGAATAAGTTTATAAAATTATTAAATTTAAATAAAATAAGAAATAAAAGTTGATATTATTTTTAATTAAATTTCTAAGTAAACGCTTAAAAATAATAACATAACTTTTTAATTTAATATAYAAAATGTTTATTTATAATAAACTAAAAAATGTAAAAATTTTATCGATATTAACTAATACAACGATTAATCGATTTGGCAATAATTACAAGTATTTATATTATTTTTATACAATAATTTTAATTAATATTTTTTATTTATAAATAGAAATAGACTAAAAAATCTAAAATTATTATTGAAAACAAAATTTGATAACTATTTGGATAATAAAGCAACGATTGATAGTTTCGTCGATAAAGTCGACAACTTTTGTTCAAAAAACTATGTATTAATGGCTGAAAATTTTGACGATTATAGTCACCGACATAATCAACAACAACAACAACCACATAGACTGTCCTCTCGTAGAGTAGTCATCGCTTTGCTGTTGAGACTGGCATTTATGCTAACTTTCCTGAGGTATGCCATATCAGCCCTGTTTGGCGACAATACAACARTCAGAGACTATACGGCCAACGGTTTGTATCTRTTGGGCAATTCAAACATTATGTCGGCACAGGTATGTTTGTCCAGTGCTCTGGCCATCGGACCAATGGCTATATATATCTACTATGAATGGATCGGACAGTTATATCCCATCAAATGCTTAATAATATGCGAAATAATAATAATCATAATAATTGCCGATTGAATAGACAAAATGAACGCCGATTTAGCCGCAAAATGTTTATGTTGGCCACAGTTATCAATGATTATCTGATTTGGTTTATGATTGTCAGTATGACATTATTATCAGTAATCACTACAGCACTGCCCTATTTTATTAATGCCGGTTCCCAACAACAACAACGCATACAGTTTCCACTTGTATCGGTTATCCTATGGTCAGTCATATCTATTGGCGGTCTATATAATGCAGTTGTGGTATTATTTATTGTATTGTTAAACCTCTATACATCAATCAGTTATGTAAAATACCAATTACTGGAAATCAATGACCGGTTAGCCCGTAGTATCAAACAGTCAAACACGGGTCTACTTACCCGTTCACTGGCCGACTATCGCCAGATTGTCAAATCGATTGCCCAATTGAATCGAGTCTACAATCGGGTAATATTTGTATTGTATTTTATATTTACACCCGAAACCGATATGTCTGTCTATGTGGCCCTACATCCTGAATCCAACCGATATGTTATCGGTGTAGCCGTCTATGGACTGACTAACAGTGTGTTCCTACTGTCTCTTATTAACTATGTATTAGCATCGGTCAACAAGTGTGCCCACTGGTCCCGACCATTATTGCACCGCTATCTCGTTGATGTCCAGCTAACGGATGGTCGACAACGACATCGGTTATCATTGAAACACCGGTTATTGATTATGGAGTTTAATGAATGGCTTTCCGATACGGATATCGGTTTCTGGTGTCTGAATATGTTTGCCATAAATAACTATATACTCTATCGTTATTGTTGTCAAATAGTTTCAACTTATTTATTGATTAGTGATTTAATGAAAAATTTTTGAATTAATTTTTTGTTTTTTTTTGGTTACATTAATAGCATATTTTCATTTTTTATTTATAAAATTGTAAGTAATTTTATTATTAATTAATATTAGTAATTATTTTATTAATTAATATTAGAAACGTAAGTTTATAATAAACTAAAAATTTATATATAATTATTAACTAAATTATACAATAACTTAACAATTAATAGTTATGTCAATTGTAATAACAATAATAACTATTTATAAGTTTTTTTATTGTATATTATTTTTAATAAATGCTAATCTATTAAATTATAACAGTTTTTTCTGATAATTTTTAAAAATATTGTTTTTTTATTATTAAAATCTATTTTATATATAGTTTTATTGAATAAATGTAAAAATTGTGTGAATTTTAATAATCAATCAAAAATAGTAATAAAAAATATATAAACATAAAATAAGTCATAAAATATTTTAAATAATAATAATATTATAATTATTAATAAAATAAAATATATAATATATCATAAATAAAATGTAATACTAGTACACATAAAAATATAAACATAATGTCATTGAAATAAATATTATTAACTAAAACCTAATAAATTAAATTAGTAGAAATTTTTTTCACTAACAAGTAAAATAAGTTTACAAAATTATTAATTTAATGTTAAATATTATCATTATTTTTAATTAAATTATATAAGTTAAAAACAAATATAATAACTCTTTATTTAATATATATACAAAATGTTTATTTACAATAAACTAAAAAATGTAAAATTATTAACGACATTAACTAATTTAGTTAATAACATATGGATTAATAGTTTTGGCAATAATTACAAGTATTATATCATATATATATTATATAGATTATATATATATCATATGATAAAAGTTTATAAATTATTTTTTTTACAAACAGAAATAAACTAAAAAATCTAAAGTTATTATTGAAAACAAAATTTGATAACTATTTGGAAAATAAAGCAACGATTGATAGTTTTATCGATAAAGTCGACAATTTTTGTTCAAAAAACTATATATTAATAGCTGAAAATTTTGACGATTATAGTCACCGTCATAATCAACAACAACAACATAGGTATAGACTGTCCTCTCGTAGAGTAGTCATCGCTTTGCTGTTGAGACTGGCATTTATGCTAACTTTCCTGAGGTATGCCATATCAGCTCTGTTAGGCGACAATACAACAGTCATAGACTATACGGCCAATGGCTTGTATCTGTTGGGCAACTCTAGCATTATGTCAGCTCAGGTATGTTTGTCCTGTGCTCTGGTTATGGGACAGATAGCTATATATTTCTACTATGAATGGATCGGACAGTTATATCCCATTCAAATGTTCAATAATATCCGAAGTAATAATAATCATAATAATTGCCGATTGAATAGACAAAATCAACGCCGATTTGGCCGCAAAATGTTTTTGTTGGCCACAGTTATCAATGATTATTTGATTTGGTTTATGATAGTCAGTATGATTTTGCTATCGGTTCCCACTACAGTACTACCCTATTTTATTAATGCCGATTCCCAACAACAACACATACAGTTTCCACTTATATCGGTCATCCTATGGTCAGTCATATCTATTGCCGAAATATACATTTCAATTGCCGTACTATTTATTGTATTGTTAAACCTATATTCAACAGTAGTTATGTAAAATACCAGTTACTGGAAGTTAACGCCCGGTTAGCCTGTAGTCTCAAACAGTCAAACCTGGGTCTACTAACCCGTTCACTGGACGACTATCGCCAGATTGTCAAATCGATTGCCCAATTGAATCGAGTTTACAATCGGGTAATATTTGTATTGTATTTTATATTTACACCCGAAACCGATATGTCTGTCTATGTGGCCCTACATCCTGAATCCAATCACTATGTTATCGGTGCAGCCGTCTATGGACTGGCCAACAGTGTTTTTCTACTAGCACTTATTAACTATKTATTGGCATCGGTCAACAAGTGTGCCCATTGGTCCCGACCATTACTACACCGCTATCTCGTTGATGTCCAGCTAACGGATGGCCGACAACGCCAACGGTTATCATTGAAAACACCGGTTATTGATTATGGAGTTTAATGAATGGCTTTCCGATACGGATATCGGTTTCTGGTGTCTGAATATGTTTGCCATAAATAACTATATACTCTATCGTTATTGTTGTCAAATAGTTTCAACTTATTTATTGATTAATGATTTGATGAAAAAATTTTGAATTTATTTTTTAAAATTTATTATTAATAATACTATATATATATATATATACATTTTGAATAAAAAAATGTTTTAATTTTAATAAGTTATAAATATATAATATTTTTATTAATAAATATATATATAAATAGTATAATATATATTTTATATCTAATATTAATATTTTTAATAATAATAATTAAAAATAAATTATTAAACCAAACTCTCTATGATTTCTAGATTATTAAAATTTTATTTATTTTAATTAAATGTTAAGCTATTTAGTTATTACAGTTTTCAATAACAAAAATTTATTATTACATTTGCAATAAATAAATACAACTATATATTTTAACTATAAATATTGTAATTTGTTTATAAAATTATATAAATATAAATAAAAAAAACAAATATTTAATGTTAAACTGGTTTTATATCCATACAATACTATAACTATACTATTTTTATTAGATAATGTTTATAACCTTGATTAGATAAAAGTTATATATTATTATAGTATTATTATTGTTGTTGTTATTAAATTTTTAGTATAAAATTATTTTTTGTTTTATTTATTTAGTTTGTAAATAAAATAATGATAATAATATTTTAATAATTAACTTAAAGTTTCTATTAATTATATAAATTATTATTTAAAAAATTATGAGTACCTCAGCCCAGTATATACTATCAAAATTTAATATTTCGGCTAAAATAATACCAAACGATTTGCTCCGGGATGTCATCAAAGTGTTTCACATATTTGACGATACGGAAGGCCAAAACCTGGTGTTTATCACCTCCGATGATCACAACAATAATGACCAGTGTTTCGCCATGGGATCCAATGAATACGGTTGTCTGGGTTTAGGTCACTATCAAACTGTTGAATCACCCGAACCACTACCCGAGCTTAGCGGCCGACGTGTACGCCGACTGATTAGTGGCCAATATTTTATGTATGCCTTAACTGGTGACAATCGGGTCCTGCACTGGGGCTGGCATTCGGGTCACCGAAACTATGAGAAACACTTTATACGACCCGAACCAGTGCCCGAACTGGTCAACAACAACAACAACAACAACATGGAAATTGTTGACCTGAGTTGCGGTCTATACTGGGCCGTAGGTCTGACCATCGATGGCCAAGTATGCGAGTGGCCGACATTGTATAGCAATGTACTGATGTTGTCGAATGAATCGCCGGATAATGATTTCAGACTAACTAAAGTTGATTTCGCCGACAATACCGATACGATTACTACTGTCCAGTGCAGTGGTGTCGGCACACGACTGGCACTTACCAGTGCCGGACAGGTATATATCTGGGGATCTGTCGATAGGGGTAGGGCTCGTCCTATTAGACAGTTAGCTAAAAATGTTGTCAGCATTTGTCCATCAACTCGTTACGCCTACTATCTGACCACCGATGGACAGGTACTCTATAGTGATAACAACAACAACAACAACAACAACAACAACAACAATGACTGTGATGTAAGGCCTGTCGAGTTTGTGGACAACAATGATGAGCTTCATGTTAATGGTATTTACAGTGTTACCGCTTATTATACTGCTTTGCATAGCGAGGAGTGCACCCGAGTTGCACTATTAGCTACCGGTGCTGATGATGATGACGATGATACTAAAGTCTATGAATTAACAGATAATTTCGAGACAATGAAAACAGTGTTCAACAATATATTAGACTATTATGCAGTTAATATGCAATTAACATATAAGACAATTGATTTAAGTAGCGATGAATTTGTGGTTAATTATTGTATTGATAATAATAATCAACAACAAATCAACGGTAATTATGTGTAATAAATTAGTTATTTATAATATATTATTAAGTTTTATTTATTTAACAATTAATATTACAATTAATTACAATATTAAGTGGTTATAACTAAGTATATTATCAACAAAAAAACACTGTATTTTTTAATAAAAATAATCAATAATTTATTTTAATGTATTAATTAATTAATTTTTTATCTAATCAAGGTTCTGGTCAATTTGATCGGCTATTCGATGTGGTCAAACACATGGGCTCCGGTAGTTTCGGTAGTGTATGTATGGTTAAACCTAAAGATACAAAGTTACGTGGTGATGACCTGGATAGTATTAGCTGTTTTGCTATGAAAATTATCAATTTAAAAGGTACTATAGTATCTATTACTACATGATATCAATAGTAATAATCAAAGTTAATCTAACCTACCGGTGCTTTATACTAATAATACTACAGATCTAACCGATCAAACTGTTAGGCGGGTGCTGGATGAAACCAAAAACATGATAAACGTACGTTCCCTGTATGTAGTCGAATATCTAAACTCATGGATTGAAGGACCTGTACTCTACATACAGATGGCTAACTGTGCGGGTAGTTTGCGTCAAGTACTTAGTCTTAGACACCAGGCTTTCAATAGACAACAACAACAACAAGCGACTGACAACAATAGGTTAGGTATAGTTGAATACTATCTATGGTGTCATGTATTTCGCGAAATCCTTGAAGCTGTCGACCATTTGCACAGTTTGACGCCCCGTCCTATTATACACAGGGATCTCAAACCCGATAACCTGCTCATCCAGTACTACGGTTTGATGTCCAATCGATATGTCCTGCTGTGCGATTTTGGACTGGCCACTCTACACGATCGGGCCATACATGAACGGCCGGCCTACAAACACTCGGCAGGTGTCGGTACACTGGTATACGAGGCACCGGAGGTTAGGGCCGGTCAGGTATACAATCACAAAGCGGATGTCTACAGTCTAGCGGTTATCTCAACGAAATTGTTTGATATAGATATCTATGAGTTTAAAGTTCCCGAGTAAGTTTACCAAAAAAAATTTTAAAATAATTATTACTATTATCATATTTTTATTATCAAAAATTATCTAGATCAAATTATTCACAACATGATAATAATAATAATAATCAACAACAAAAATTATTTAATAAAGCTATCTATAAATTGCAAACWTGTTTACTGGAAATGTTATCAACGTTTAGAAATAAGAGACCCGACTGTCGCCAAGTGTTGGCCAGTTTTAGGGAATKGTCTATAGATACCGGAGCTATAGTCCAAAATCTGGATAGTTATAGTCCTATAATTGATAGATTAAAACAATTTGATCAGTGTCAATTTTTTATTACATTATTAAGATCTCTGCTATACGATTATGATAAGCGCGATATTTTAAAATAATTATAATAACTAGTGTTTAATACTAATCATTAAAATATATATTTTTAAAAAATAATTAAATTACAGTTTATTAATATTTTATATAATTGTTATATAAAAATACTAAATATTTTAACTGATTTAACTAAATAATTAAATTTATAATAATAATTGATAAATGTATATAAAATTAATAAATTATTAAAAAACTTTTTTTTTGAAAATAACCTGTGTTATACTAATTAATTAATGAAATTTTTCTCTATTAATTAAACTATGTAAATTTAGCTACAAAAATAAAATCATATTAATAATTATTATTGATTAATGTGTATAACCTAGATAATTTAATAATTTAATAGTTATACTAATAGTTAATAATTAGTTTTTTATATATACAGAAATTTACTAGAGTAAATAACTATAATTTATTTAGTCAAAATAAATTGTATATAAATACATTTTTTATAAATCTAATATAAAATTCATTATTGAAATGAAAACAAATAGTAATTTTAATTAAATGTGTTTTTTAAATAAAAAATTATCTATATTATTATTAATTAAAACATAGACTAGTAAGTTATAAAATGCATAATATAAATTTTAATTAATTAATTGAGTTTAAAGTTTTTTTTTGTAAAAAAATTATTAATTTTTAAAAATATTTTATATAATACAAATAGTATTTATACAGTGATTTATACTGTATATATTTTATTTATTATACTGTAGAATAAGTAAACTATATTTTTTGATACATAGTATATAAATTGCTAAATTAAAAATTATTTAAAACCAGTTAAGAATGCTAGAAAGCATTTTCAGAAAAAAAACTTGAATAACATTGAAAACTATTAGTTTTATAATTATAGCGGCTATATAATAACATAAAAATTTAAAAACTGGTCAAATATACATAATATAAATATTGTAATGTATGGTATCAAATGATTAAGTATGACAAAATAAAAAACTATAGTCATGTGGGGTATCAAATGATGTAGTATAACAAAATAATAATCTATAATTATACATTTGCCGCTTATACTTATTCTTTTTGTTCCCGTAGATATCAAAATTTAATGCATATTTTTTATCCTTGTTTTTGATTTTTTCTTCAAATCTATATTTAAAAAAAATTCTTAAAATTTTTTATACTTTTGCCGCCATTTTTAAAAAAAATTATACTGATATATTATATCATATTTTTGATACTCTTTACAATTCTAAACGTTAAAATTTTTACCTAATTTTTTTTACTTTGGCCGCCATTTTCTTTATGTTCCCGAAGAGATATCAAAATTTTAATGTATATTTTTTATTCTTGTTTTTGATGCTATATTCAAATCTATACTTAAAAAAAATTTTCTTAATTTTTTTTAATTTGGCCGCCATTTTGTCTATGTTCCCGAAGAGATATCAAAATCTTAATTAAACTTTTCAATACATTATTAGTAGTCATCTAACCGAATCTGAAGTCAGAATTTCAAAATTCGCAAAATGAAATGCTACACACAGACACAGACTCAAAAAGCCATTATAGATTTCAGAATTTTTTCTTTTATCAATAATGTATTTCTAATATATATATTCTTTTATTTAATCATAATTTATTTTTGCATCATCTTTATTAATACGTTAACTTTATTATTTTGTAAACTTCAACATTATTTAATAACAGTATTTATAAGTTTGATTTATAGTAAGACAGCACTTTTAAGTAATATTATTTATTAAAATATTAAAAAAATTTCTGTTTGACCTAACCTAACCTAACCATACATTACCATACATTACCATACATTACCATACATTACCATACATTACCATACATTACCATACATTACCATACATTACCATACATTACCATACATTACCATTTTTTTACTTTAGCCGCCATTTTCTCTGTTCCCGAAGAGATATCAAAATTTTAATGCATATTTTTCAGCTTGTTTTTGATCCTTTATTCAAATCTATACTTAATAAAAAAATTTCTAAAATTTTTTTACTTTAGCCGCCATTTTCTCTATGTTCCCGAAGAGATATCAAAATTTTAATGTATATTTTTTATTCTTGTTTTTGATGCTATATTCAAATCTATACTTAAAAAAAATTTTCTTAATTTTTTTTAATTTGGCCGCCATTTTGTCTATGTTCCCGAAGAGATATCAAAATCTTAATTAAACTTTTCAATACATTATTAGTAGTCCTCTAACCGAATCTGAAGTCAGAATTTCAAAATTCGCAAAATGAAATGCTACACACAGACACAGACTCAAAAAGCCATTATAGATTTCAGAATTTTTTCTTTTATCAATAATGTATTTCTAATATATATATTCTTTTATTTAATCATAATTTATTTTTGCATCATCTTTATTAATACGTTAACTTTATTATTTTGTAAACTTCAACATTATTTAATAACAGTATTTATAAGTTTGATTTATAGTAAGACAGCACTTTTAAGTAATATTATTTATTAAAATATTAAAAAAATTTCTGTTTGACCTAACCTAACCTAACCATACATTACCATACATTACCATACATTACCATACATTACCATACATTACCATACATTACCATACATTACCATACATTACCATACATTACCATTTTTTTACTTTAGCCGCCATTTTCTCTGTTCCCGAAGAGATATCAAAATTTTAATGCATATTTTTCAGCTTGTTTTTGATCCTTTATTCAAATCTATACTTAATAAAAAAATTTCTAAAATTTTTTTACTTTAGCCGCCATTTTCTCTATGTTCCCGAAGAGATATCAAAATTTTAATGTATATTTTTTCAGCTTGTTTTTGATCCTTTATTCAAATCTATACTTAATAAAAAAATTTCTAAAATTTTTTTTTTACTTTAGCCGCCATTTTCTCTATGTTCCCGAAGAGATATCAAAATTTTAATGTATATTTTTTATTCTTGTTTTTGATGCTATATTCAAATCTATACTTAAAAAAAATTTTCTTAATTTTTTTTAATTTGGCCGCTATTTTGTCTATGTTCCCGAAGAGATATCAAAATCTTAATTAAACTTTTCAATACATTATTAGTAGTCCTCTAACCGAATCTGAAGTCAGAATTTCAAAATTCGCAAAATGAAATGCTACACACAGACAGACAGACTCAAAAAGCCATTATAGATTTCAGAATTTTTTCTTTTATCAATAATGTATTTCTAATATATATATTCTTTTATTTAATCATAATTTATTTTTGCATCATCTTTATTAATACGTTAACTTTATTATTTTGTAAACTTCAACATTATTTAATAACAGTATTTATAAGTTTGATTTATAGTAAGACAGCACTTTTAAGTAATATTATTTATTAAAATATTAAAAAAAATTCTGTTTGACCTAACCTAACCTAACCATACATTACCATACATTACCATACATTACCATACCTTACCATACATTACCATACATTACCATACATTACCATACATTACCATACATTACCATACATTACCATACATTACCATACATTACCATACATTACCATTTTTTTACTTTAACCGCCATTTTCTCTGTTCCCGAAGAGATATCAAAATTTTAATGCATATTTTTCAGCTTGTTTTTGATCCTTTATTCAAATCTATACTTAATAAAAAAATTTCTAAAAATTTTCTTAATTTTGGCCGCCATTTTCTCTATGATCCCGAAGAGATATCAAAATTTTAATGCAACTTTTCAATACATTATTAGTAGTCCTCTAACCGAATCTGAAGTCAGAATTTCAAAATTCGCAAAATGAAATGCTACACACAGACAGACAGACAGACTCAAAAAGCCATTATAGATTTCAGAAAACAAAACTTTTCAAGTTTTTTTTGAAAAACATATGAAATATAAATATTTTTTCTTTTTCATAAAAACTAATAGTAATAATATTTGCTAGAATATTTAACTATGAAATAAATAGCTATAATTAATAAATTACAGTTTGTAAAACAACTACAAGTAAAGTAAATTTTTTTAAATAAATAGTTTAAATAAATAGTTTTAGTAAATATCATAAAATAGTGTAATATATTATACATTATTTATCCAAAAAATAAAACACTAATTAGAATATAAAATAAAAAAAWTTTAGAAAATAAAAATTATTTTAGTTTTATTAGCTAAAAAATTAGATTTTATTAATGTAATTATTAATTAAAGCTAAATTATTCAATTATAATATTAATTTATTTATAAAATAAAAATATTTAATTAATATTATATAATAATTTTTGTATTTTAATTTGTAATAATAACTATATACTGTATATAAATATATACAAAAAAAAATTAAAAATAAATAATTTACTTACCTATACCTAGTCTATTAGCAATAATATATAACTATATAATAAATATATAAGATTAATAAATTACAGTTTTATTTTTTTAAATAACATTAATAAATTAATTTTCATATAACTATTTAAATAAATAGTAAAAATTAATTATATAATTTTTTTGAATTTAAAAATATTATATAATTAAATCAATTGAATTAAATTTTAAAAGTTAAAAAACTAATTAATATTTTTTGAATTTATTTTAATAAAGTTAGTTAAAAAATGTAGACGTAATCTATTGATTGTTATATACAGTGTATATATGTTTGTATTAATAAATATTATGTAATAATAATATTATTAAATGTGTTTGTATTTCAAATAATTATTTTTTTTTAAAGAAATTGAATTAAAATAAATAGTATTTAAAGTATTAATAGTAATAATAATAATGCAATCAATTAATGAATTGTTATGTGATTTAAGTCGATATGAATTATATTCAGCGATATATCGACTCAAACGTGAAGTCAATTGTTTGACAAATGATTTATTAAGATATCAATTGTTAACAAAAAAATATGAAAAATATCTGCAATTTATTGATACAATTGATGACAAAATTATTGATGAAAATGAGATCAAACAGAGTATTAAATCACTGAATGATATCAATAGGTGTTCCGTGTCTTTGGATTTTATGAAACAATTGGATCACTTGATGGACACAAATGGTATATAAAAAATAAATAATAAATAGTTATTAAAAGTTTTTAATTAATTTATATTTTGTTTAAATCGTAAAATAGTTAACAAATCAATTGGTTGTCAAACATCTTCATCAACAACACTATCGATGAATGTGTGGACACAAACTCAAGACATTATTAGTAGTATTATTACACATAAAACAAGTGATGATAATAGCAATCAAAGTAATAGTAAAGTTTTAAGTGATAGTAATGTCAATCAAAACTTGGAAATCAATACTAATATTATCAGTGAATCAATTAATGATGAAAACAATTATTATGATAACAATGATGTAAATGAAGATAATTATAATAATAATACTAAAGTATTGACTAAATTAGTTAATAATAATAATAATAATAATAATAACTGTAATAATATTGACAACGAAACAGATGATGAAGAATATATAGAAGACATCTTACATGAAGACAATAACAATCAATTAACAAATGATAGCGAAACAGATGTATACAGTTGTTGTAGTGATGACTTCAAGAGTGGTGATGAAGAAGAAGAAGAATTGGTGGTAAAAGTCAGACAACCGTTGAATAAAACTTTGAAATTTAAATATCAATGCAATTTCAATGACTGTACGAAACGGTTCCGCAATGAATACATACTTAATAGACATAGAAATACACATCAATTATTGGATAGGGATTTGAATACTAAACAACAACAAAATGTCAGACAAAACAATCATCAAAGACTAGGAGGAAGAGGAAGAAAGCCATCGAAGAGTAGTACCGGTAAAGTAAACGACACTAAAGTTAGACAAACAGTTAAACAGAAAAAGACGAAGAAGAAGAAAGTAAAGCGAATTCAATCAGAAGATGAACTGAAAGCCATGAAACTGTTTAATACGAAAAAATGTCGTCAACCGGATGGCACTTATCGGTGTCCATGGGATGGCTGTTCAAAGATATTTAGATCATTAAATTCATTGGGCCAACACCGTCACATACATCTGGGTACATACAGGTGCCCGCTAACCGATTGCGGTTTTCTAGGCCGCAGTGACTATCATTTGAATATACATCAAATTATACATTCATCGGACAAATCGTTCGGATGTCGGGATTGTGATAAATATTTTTCCCGACAACTATTGCTATACAATCATCGATTGGTAGTACATCCCGATGCCTATCCGGACATACCGTTTAGACAGTGCCCGGAATCGGGTTGTACTTATCAGACAAAACTGTTGGGTTCATTCAAAAAACATCAACAACAACATAGCCTACCAGTTAGTTGTCTGGATTGTGGTAAACGTTTCAGAAGTAATTATGACCTCCAACTACACCATCAATCCAGACACCAGTCGGTTAAACAATTTAAATGCCAATTGTGTGGCAAACTGTTTAAAACAATTAGAAATCGTAGAAATCATTATCAGTTACATCATCAACACGGAGACTATCAATGTGATTACGATGGCTGTAACCAAACGTTTACTATTAAACTAAAATATCTTAGACATCAGAAAACACACGACAAGAACAACAACCCCGATGTCGATCCCCGTCCGCACGTGTGTGAGTGGCCGGGATGTGACCGTAGGTTTGTGACAAACGCTGCGATGACTTACCATTTGAATACACATTCGGGTGATATTGTCTACCGGTGCGATTGGCCAGAATGTGATAAGTCATTTATAGTAAAATCATCGTATATAATGCATATGGCCAGACACGAGGGTAAACATACCTACCGGTGCTCGTGGCCTGAATGCGATTACAGTACACAAAACACTGTTAGACTTAAAAGTCATATAATGAAACACAAGGGTATAGTAGTCGACGACAACAACAAATAGATATTACGGTATAATTTCAGTAAATATTTATCTTAATATTTTAAAAATTTTCTAAACTATTTATATTTGTATTATAATGTTATAATTAATTTAATTAAAAGTTTTAAATTTTTATTTTATAGTTTATTTTATTACACATAATTATAATTTTTTTTGCAAAAAAAACTATAACATTAAGGCAATCATAATTAAAAACAGTTTAATAATATTTAAACTATTTTCTAAACTAAAACTAAACTAAAATTAAATAATGATAACAAAAAAAAGTTTTAAAATTAATTATTTTTCAATATTATATTCAATTTAAAGTTATTATTATTATTTGTAGACGTAATCTATTGTAAATAATTTATAAAAATAAATAAATATTAWGTAATTTTAAAAGTTTTTTTTAAATAAAAAAAAGTTTTTTGAGTTAAAACTTTTTGCGYTTTATTTTAGATTTTTAAAAAATAAAATTATTTTTCTAAGTAATGTCTGATTGTTATTAAATTTAGTGATTATTTAGTTAAGTAATTAATTAATTAAAATAAATAATAATAATAATAATGCAATCAATTAGTGAATTGTTATGTGATTTAAGTCGATATGAATTATATTCAGTGATATATCGACTCAAACGTGAAGTCAATTGTTTGACAAATGATTTATTAAGATATCAATTGTTAACAAAAAAATATGAAAAATATCTGCAATTTATTGATACAATTGATGACACAATTATTGATGAAAATGAGATCAAAAATAGTATTAAATCACTGAATGATATCAACAGGTGTTCCGTGTCTTTGGATTTATTGAAACAATTGGATCACTTGATAGACACAAATGGTATATAAAAAAAATAAATAGTTATTAAAAGTTTTATATAAATTTATATTTTGTATAAAAAAATAGTTAACAAATCAATTGGWTGTCAAACAAATATTATTATTATTATTATTATTAATTAATATTAATTTTTATTTTGTTTAATCAATCAGATCCTAAATTAACAGATAAATTGATTGATAATTTCAAACAAACTAATAATACTAAAGATATCAATCAATTGACTGATGTATTAGTGATACCTGTATTGTCAAGCAATGAATGTAATGATAATAATAATAATATTAGCGAAACAATTGCCGATAAAAATGTCGCAAACAATGTGGTCATCAATGAAGACAACAAAATTCAGAAAAATAATATGAATAACAATGATATCAGTGAAGTAATTGATGAAAATGGAGATACTATTGAAGTTATTAATAGCAAACAAGATATAAGTAATGATAATAATAATAATAATAATAGAGATATTAATGAAGACATTGATTGTCAATCAAATTGTAGCGAAACAGATGTATACAACAGTTGTAAGGGTTTACAGAGTAGTAGTAGTAGTAGTAGTAGTAGTAGTAGTAGTAGTAGTGATGATGAAGAAGAAGTTGTGGTAAAAGTCAATCAACCGATGATTAATAAAAATATGACTAAAACTTTGAAATTTAAATATCAATGCAATGACTGTACGAAACGGTTCCGCAATGAATACATACTTAATAGACATAGAAATACACATAAATTAATGGATAGGGATTTGATTAGCAATACTGTGGTCGACAACAACAACAATACGGGTGTCGACACTAAACAACATATCAGACAAAACAGTAATCAAAGACAAGAAGGAAGAAGAAGAAAGCAATTGAAGAGTAGTACCGGTAAAGTAAACGAGGCAGGGGTTTGGTATCTAGGCTAATTAGGAGAGAGGTCAGTTGCATATTTTTAGAATCCTTATTGATTATAGTTTATAGATATATAAGTGTCAATGGCCGCAAATCAAAGGTTTGGGTTATACATGGGGTCAAAGGGTCATTGTATGGTATAATGAATATAGCAGTAAATACTATACTATACTATACTGTACTATACAATACACTACAATATACTATACTATACTATACTATACAATACACTATACTAATAGGATTATAATAAGTTATTAAATAAATAATAAATAGGAAATAAAAATAATTAAATAGTACACATAAACTACTATATAAAGGAATGTTCATTCACTTTAGTCATTCAATAATTCATATATCTCACAAATAATGAATTTATTTAAACTATCAACTGAAGTATTGGTCAGCAAAGAGAGGTGTAAAATATGGTTAAATCAAGTCGGACTTTTGGTTATACCGGACGGCATGGCCTGTACGCAATGCAAAAAAGAAATGACATTTGAAGCCGATAATGGATGGGGTAGGTTTCGGTGCCAACGGACACACGCAAAAGGTAAAGGGTAGCTGACCCAAAAAAAATAAAAGACAACAAACTTATCGATTATTTAAAAAAAATAAATAAATCATATGTATAATGAAACTGATACTGGACTGCACTTTACTATATGGCCCGCGAAGGAGGCGGGTGTGTGGGGGTATATTAGGGTCTGGTATGATGACTAGTATACGGGTATATAAAATATTAGAAGTCTGAGGTCAAAGGTTAACCTAACCTAATCTAACCTAACCTAACCTAACTTAACCTAACCTAACCTAATCTAATCTAACCTAACCTAACCTAACCTAACCTAACCTAACCTAACTTAACTTAACCTAACCTAACCTAACCTAACCTAACCTAATCTAATATAACCTAACCTAACCTAACATAATCTAACCTAACCTAACCTAACCTAACATAATCTAATCTAATCTAACCTAACCTAACCTGACATTATCTCTTATATTTACAAAATTATATAATTATAAAAATATGAAATTTTTTTTAATAAAAATAATTATTATTTATGAATTATATACAATTTAAAGTTATTATTAGTAGTAGTTAGAGACTGAAAACTGACCTGATTTTTCAGGTCAGGTCAGGTCAGGTAAAAGCTAGGGCTCAGGTCAGATCAGGTACGGGTCCGAACACCTAAATTTTTTGGTCAGGTCAGGTCCGAAATTTTTTTATTCATTATTTAAACGACAATTATTACAAAATATGACAATCAAACACAAAATTTATTAAATTATTATTTATAAAATAGTTGTATAAATTAAACATAAAATATTACAAAAGATGATGGTTTTGATCTAATAAATAATAACATATTAACTTTATTAGAATCTAAGTTAGATCTACAATCAGTTATCGTTAATCCCGAGTAATTAAAGTTAATTTAGAGAAATTTGTTGCGGGTATAGAGTAAATAAAATTGTTTTTTGATAAAATTATTTTCGGACCTACATAGTCAGGTCAGGTCAGGTCAGGTCAGGTCAGGTCAGGTCAGGTCAGGTAAATTTGTACCCTATGTTAGGTCAGGTCCGAGTCCGAGATTTTAGGTATCAGATCAGGTACGGGTCCGAAACTTTTCGCTCTCTAGTAGTAGTAGTATTGTTAGACGTAATCTATTGTAAATAATTTTTTTTCTAAATAAATATTATGTAATGTATTAAAAAGTTTTTTTGTTGATGTTTTGAGTCAAAAAAACTTTTTGATATTTAATTTTAGTTTAGTTTTTTTAAATTTTATTTTTGTAGATTATAAATGGCTGAATAGCTTTTATTAATTAAAATCAATAGTATTAAAGTATTAATAGTAATAATAATAAAAACAATGCAATCAATTAGTGAATTGTTATGTGATTTAAGTCGATATGAATTATATTCAGCGATATATCGACTCAAACGTGAAGTCAATTGTTTGACAAATGATTTATTAAGATATCAATTGTTAACAAAAAAATATGAAAAATATCTGCAATTTATTGATACAATTGATGACAAAATTATTGATGAAAATGAGATCAAACAGAGTATTAAATCACTGAATGATATCAACAGGTGTTCCGTGTCTTTGAATTTATTGAAACAATTGGATCACTTGAACGATAGCAATGGTATTGAAAAAAATATTATAATTATTATTATTAATATTTATTAATTAATTATTTATTTATTTATTATTATTGATAAATAGTTAGCAAATCAACACAAACTGATGACATTAAACCTAAATTTATTGATAATTATAACTATAATTATATTCAACAAAATGTTTTCAGCGATATTAAAGTCAAACAAGAAATAAATGGTAATAAAAATATTTATTATTATTATTATTATTAAAGTAATGATTGTTTTTTTTATATATATATAATAAAATAGTCAACAAATCAATTGGTTGTCAAACATCTTCAAAACTATTGATGAATGTGTGGACACAAACTCAAGACATTACACATAAATCAAGTGATTGTCAAACAAGTGATAATTTCAATGATAATTACAATCAAAGTACTGATGTTTTAAGTGATAGTAATGTCAATCAAAACTGTGAAATCAATACTAATATTATCAGTAATGAATCAATTGATGAAAATTGTGATAWCAATGGTGTAAATGATAGTAYATATGATATAATAACATTAAATGGTATATAATATTTAACTATTATTAGTATTATAATTGATTTTTTTTAATATGTTTAATCAGATCCCAAATCAATTGATGGATTCAGTGATAATTGCAAACATAATAATAATAATACTAAAAATGACAATCAATTGACTGATGAATTAGTGATATCTATATTGTCTGTCAATGAATGTAATGATAATAATAATATTAGCGAAACAATTATTGCCGATAAAAATGTCGCAAACAATTTGGTCATCAATGAAGACAACAAAATTCAGAGAAATAATTGTAGTGACAATGATATCAGTGAAGTAATTGATGAAAATGAAGACACTGTTGAAGTTATTAATAGCAAACAAGATATAAGTAATGATAATAATAATAATAATAATAATAGAGATATTAATGAAGATATTAATTGTCAATCAAATGGTAGCGAAACAGATGAATACAGTTGTGATGGTTTACAGTGTAATAGCATTAGTAGTAGTAGTAGTAGTAGTGATGATGAAGAAGAAGAAGTTGTGGTAAAAGTCAATCAACCGATGAATAAAAAGATAAATAATAAAACTTTATTTAAATATCAATGCAATTTGAATGACTGTACGAAACGGTTCCGCAATCAATACATACTTAATAGACATAGAAATACACATAAATTAATGGATAGGGATCTGAGTTGCAATACTGATGACAACGACAACAACAGTTATCAAAGAAGTGGTAATAGAAGTACATTGAAGATGAAAGTGACAAAACAAATAACAACAGTTAACAACAGTAATAGACAAAAACTATTGAATATATCTATTGTCGACAACCGGATGGCACATATCGGTGCCAATTGGACGGCTGTAAGCAAACATTTAGACAATTATCGCCACTATATAGACATTTGACTAACCATAGAGCTAACTACCGGTGCTTAATTGATGGCTGTAACTATCTGGCCAGTCGTCCAGAATATTTAAGATCGCATCAATTGAGTGATCATCATATGATCAATAAAACTAATAATAATAAAATCCATCAAAATCTAGTAGAAGTGGTAAACAGTGGTAAAACTAATCAAAAGCGAATCAAATCGGCTGATGAACTGAAAGCCATGAAACTGTTTGATCCGATCAAATGTCGGATCAAACAATCGGATGGYCGTCCATCCTATCGGTGTCCATGGGATGGCTGTTCGAAAACATTTAGAGATCGATCATCGTTTTACAAGCACCGACACCAACATTTAGGTACATTCAAGTGTCCGATCGATTCGTGCAATTTTAGGGCCGTAAGTGCCAGTACTTTGAAAAAACATCAAACCATACACTCGGATGATAAGCCATACGAGTGCCGGGATTGTCGTAAATCATTTTCAATGAAACAACTGCTACATATACATCGATTGACTGTACATCCCGATGCCTATCCCGACATACCGTACATGCAATATCCGGAAACTGGTTGCCMCTATCGTGCAAAACTGTTGGCCCCATTGAATCAGCACAGACAGGCACATAGTTTGCCAATGGTTTGCCTAAAGTGTGGCAAACGTTGTCGAAATAATACCGATCTTCGTATACATCAATCCAAACACCAGTCGATCAAACAATACAAATGCCGTTTATGTGGCAAACAGTTTAAGACTGTTAGTCGTCAGAAATGGCATCACCGGCTACATCACCAACAAATGGACATTAACTGTGATTACGATGGCTGTAACCAAACGTTTACWATTAAACTASAATATCTTAGACATCGGAAAACACACRTCAAMGACAAYRWCRATCCMCGTCCGCACGCGTGTSAGTGGCCGGGATGTGAGCGTAGGTTTAAGWCAAACTGTGATATGATTTACCATTTGAATACACATTCGGGTGATACTGTCTACCGGTGCGAATGGCCTGAATGTGATAAGACATTTCTTCGTAAATCATCGTATGTGATGCATATTCAACGACACSAGGGTAAGCATAYMTACCGGTGCTCGTGGCCTGAATGCGATTACAGTACACAAAACACTGTTAGACTAAAAAGTCATATAWTGAAACACAAGGGTATAGTAGTCGACGGGAAATAGATATAACGCGATAATAATAATAATATTATTATCGGTAATTAATATAAATAATTWTATATATATATATAAATAAACTGATATTATTGTTATTACAAATATTTAATATTTAATAATAAATATTATTTAAATATTATATTTATTTTATTTTATATAAAAAACTTTAATGTTAAGTTGTTTTTTTTTGATAGTTTTTATTTATATATTTTATAGTAATATATTGTTTTATTAAATATATATATATATATTAATTAATTTATAACATAATTTCCAGATAGTTTACATACTAATTAGTATAATACTACAGTTAATGCTACTGTAGTTATTTTTAGAAAAATGTTATAAAAATTATTAATTTTAACTATTGGTAATTAATAAATTTTAAAGTTTTTAATAAATAAAATATATATATATATATATATATATATTCTTATGTTACTATTATTGATTAAAAAAAATATATTAATTATAATAATTTTTTAAAATAAATAAAACTTTTTTATTACTATAAATGATATGAATTATATATTTGTTATTTTTATATGTATAACAAAATTATTGTTTAAATACTGTAATATAGTGTAGACGTTATCTATTGAAATATATTTGTAAGCAATAAATATGATAACGTAATTTAAGAGTAGTGTCAAAAAAGTAATACTGTGTATTGTTTTGTTTTAAAGTTTTTTTTAAAAAATAAAATCGTGTCAAAAAATTTTTGTTTATAAATATAACCTATAAATTAATTAAAATATATTTATAAGATATTTATAATTATTTAATAGTAATAATAATAATGCAATCAATTAGTGAATTGTTATGTGATTTAAGTCGATATGAATTATATTCAGAGATATATCGACTCAAACGTGAAGTCAATTGTTTGACAAATGATTTATTAAGATATCAATTGTTAACAAAAAAATATGAAAAATATCTGCAATTTATTGATACAATTGATGACACAATTATTGATGAAAATGATATCAAACAGAGTATTAAATCACTGATAATAATAAATATATAAGATTAATAAATTACAGTTTTATTTTTTTAAAAATAACATTAATAGATTAATTTTCATATAACTATTTAAATTGTGATGAACCACAATTATTATACTTATATATATTTATATACATTTAATTAATTAATTTAAAAACATACTTACCAATTGATGTTTACATACATTCACATACACACACATACAAACATATACAAACACATGCATTCAGGGAAGCCGCCATTACAGGGGCGTTGACTCATACGCTATAGCAGTGGAGAGTCAACAGTGCTTAACATTATATGTTGGGGTACACTGTACTATTAATGCGTACACTACTATATAGTAGTACAGTGCTCCCATTTATATAAGTATACAATACTTACCATATATAACTGATTGAAATTCTCTATTTGTTGTAAATCTTATTTAGTCAATAATTTAGTAATTTTTAATATTTTTGTAGACTTTTTGTTATATTCGTGTTCTAGACTTTACACTTAACACAACTATATAAAACACAACACATAACTAATTATACTTTACTAATTATAACCAAATATTACATTTTACATTATAACTCCCATAGACCTGTCAATCATAGCATCCCTATGCTCTGGTTGCGTCACTGTATCTACAGTTGCGTAACTATAGAATATTCTGGAAGCATAGCCTTGACAGTACATTTATTGATTAGTAGAATCACTATATAATAATGCTTAGCATCCATTATTTTATCAGTTACTCGCTTGCTATCAAAGAGCACGCATCTCTTGTATTCAACTTATTATATTCCTATACACTATATTATATTATAATGTAAACAATATGTACTCACTATATATTTTAATGTGCACTTAACTTTAAATAAAATTAAGTTTTATTTCAATGTGAATATATACACTTGTGACGGCACCTAATGAACATTCGCCTTAATTAATATTATTTATTAATTATTTTCATCTTAATCATCAACAACACTCAACATTGGCTTTTCATCACAGCTTCGCTTCAATGACGGGAAAATCAACCCCACACCCGTCACATTTGGCGCAGTCGGCAGGATCCGTTTGAGTTAAGTGAGTAACCGTAATTTTCATAATTTGGTTAAATCAGTATAGTCATACATTTGGTATATCGGTGATACATTCACGTATGTTATCGGACATATAGTTTATGACAAAACGCTAGTCTAAGGGACGTGAGGCATAGTTCTATTGCACTCCCAATATACTAAACAAAGTAATCATAAACTATAGAGCTCTATTGAGTGGCCGATAGCGCTGTGCATATATGTATCACTGCTTATATTGAATTCATTACACTGTACTGATACGCCATYTTGTGAACTCACTGCTCACTTCAACGCATGAGTGGAGCATCGATTGGAAGCCAACACCTAGCAACGCATAACAACGTCTAACAACGCATAGTTAAGTAATTATTTTAATAATGGCTGACGATAACGGCATCAATGGTCTGTCCACACCACCCGTCACGGGAACGGTAAATGCAAACACAAATACTACTACACCATCTACTGGTACATCAACGCAAACGCATTTAAACACAACACCTGGTCATGGGCTACCTAAACTTGAGAAATTCAGTGGTAGTGATAAATCAATTCGGGTTCAGACTTGGCTGAAATTATATTATGACCACACCGAGAACATGGAAGAACAAGACCGAATACGTAACCTCAAGTATTATTTGACTGGTCAAGCACTCGAATGGTATGGCGAAGAAGTCCTAACCTATAACTGGTCTACTATACCAAACCCGCGTAACTTCTTAAGTAGTCTTATGATACAACGCTTTGGCGCAGACTCGTCTACCCCATTGCTAGACGCGCAGAGGCGTTACCTCAGACGTGATGAGTCGGTACTTGATTACTATAGATAAACTTAGACTATTGCGCTATACTAGACTTACAGTTACCGATATAGTACAGCAGCTTACTGATGGTCTCCCGCAGCACTGGAAACCATACTTTATTACTTTAAGTTGTGCTACAACCAATCGTTGGTTAGAAGCGGCGCAATTAATTGAAACTAATTTGAAAAATCAATTTAGATTCGGTAAACCGAAACCAAAGCTAACTCCTCGTACTATGAATTCTAATACTAGTACAGCACCGAAGTGTAGATTCTGCGAAAAGTTAGGAACTGTAGAATTTCATTGGCACCGAGATTGTCCAAACAATCCGAACCGTCGGTATGGTATGTCAACCACTACTGCACGTAAACATAGCACTGGTTACTCTCGTACCCCTCGTACATCAATTAACCGTAATTCGAAAACTCAAGTAGCAGTTCAAGATATGGTGGTCAGTGACCATCCCTCGCATGAGACTTTAAACTAAACATGCGACCGATACCCGATTTCATTGATCTTGTCGTCAAAGTCAACTCACACCCCGCGCGCGCATTTATCGATACTGGTAGTACAGTTAACATCATTTCTCAACGACTGGCCAGTCAATTAAAACTACCTATCGATACTCATCACCCTATCAATATACTTCAAGTTGACGGCAATATCAACAGTATTGGTCGCGTATCTACTCAACTCACAATGGGATCACAAACACATTTAACTACATTTCACGTACTGGCTAATTTCCGGTACCCGCTCTTACTTGGACTAGAAGTTGGTAAACGATTTGGTTTAACAGTAGACCTAAGCACTCGTAAAGTTACCACTCGCATTGAACAAGTAAAGCCTCGCATACTAAACATAGAAACAAAAGAAGACATTACGCTAAAGAAACTACTCGCAAAACATAGACAAGTTTTCGCTCAACACGACACAGACATAGGACGAATTCAAGTTGTCAAACACAAAATTATTACGGTTCCACATCCACCAATTCAACTTCGTCCTTACCGCCGACCTCAACATGAATACGACGAGATTGTAAAAATCATACGAGAGGCGGAGGCCAAAGGACTCGTACGCAAAAGCAAAGACAGCCAATGGGCATTCCCAGTTACTATGGTACCAAAGAAAGACGGTGGACAATGCTTATGCATAGACAACAGAAGTCTTAACGCTATTACTATTGATGACAAAATGCCGATGCCGAGGATCACTGAAGTGTTAGACCGCCTACAAGGCGCTCGTTATTTCACAACACTTGACGTGGCCTGGGGTTACTGGCATATCGAGATGGACTCWGACTCAGTTGACAAAACAGCTTTTGTCACACATGAAAACCATTATGAATGGCTAGTCATGCCATTCGGTCTCAAGAACGCACCCGCAACATTTCAACGCATTATTCAACAAATATTAGGTCCTCTTCTCTACAATGGTGCAATTAATTATTTAGATGACATAATATTATACACAAAAACACACGAAGAACATATAACATTATTGGAAAAAGTATTTAACATTTTAAGACAACACAATATCAAATTAAAACAAAGTAAATGCCACTTTGCTATGAATGAAGTAGCTTATCTTGGACATGTTGTTTCATATCAATCTGTCAAACCATCTGAAGACAAAATAAAAGCAGTAAAAGAATTCCCGAAACCAACTACTTTACGACAAGTCAGAAGATTTCTAGGACTTACTGGTTATTACCGACGCTTTATTGCTAACTTTGCTAATAAAGCTAAACATCTTACAGCCTTAACAAAGAAAGGTGTTACATTTCATTGGGGCCCAGAACAGGAAAAAGCATTTAAGATATTAACAGATGACATAACTAAACCACCAGTGTTAACTTTATTTGACACTAATAAACCGTGTCGAGTATATACTGATGCCTCAGGTATTGGAATCGGAGCTACGTTAACACAAATAGGTGATGACAATCAAGAACACGTAATTGAGTATTTTTCACGCAAACTCAATACAGCACAACAAAACTATAGTGCTACTGAACTTGAATGCCTGGCGGTCAAGGAAGCTATTGAACATTTTGAATTTATCTCAACCGAGACTTTGAGGTCATCACTGATCATAAAGCTCTACAATGGCTTACTACTCTTAAGAAACCGAAGAAAAGATTACATATGTGGGCTGTTGAGCTATCAACCTATCCAATGAAGATCATACATAGAGAAGGCCGTAATCAACAACACGTTGACGCACTCTCAAGAGCACCTATAGCATTACATCTATCAACTCGAGAAATAAAAGATGCACAAGAAAACACTGATTTATCTTATGTTAAATCACCTGTTATACGATTTGGCATTACAACAGTTCAACACAATGGTATACATAAAGCAGTTATACCGGAAGCGTTACGTACAAAGCTATTTGAAAAATTTCATGATAACCATGGACACCCTGGCAAAGCCAAGACAGTAAAACTCATTACTTCATATTATTGGTGGCCAAACATAATACACAACATAAAGCAATATGTTGAATCATGTCGCACATGTCAGTTAACTAAACTTGACCATAGGCCAACTCCTGGGAAATATATTTGCCCTGAACCGGATCTAGAGCCTTTAGAATTGGTTGGTTTAGATACTATTGTCATGGGACCAGCATCCGACAAAACAAAGCACAAATATATTCAAGTATTTATTGATCATCATTCCCGATATATATGGGCATATCCTACACACAAGAATACTACAGAAACTATTATATCACTCTTTATTAATCTTATTAATTCTGGAATACAATTTAAACGTTTATTAACTGATTGTCATAAATCATTTACTTCTAAGACATTTAATGAATATTTATACCTTAATCATATTAAACATTCACTTTCAACTCCATATCATCCGCAAACTAATGGTATCGTTGAACGAGCAAATGGTATCATTATTGAGAAACTTAGAGCCGAACTAATAGACAAACCGAAACGTAAATGGAATACATTATTAAAGGATGTCATACGAAATTACAACAGAACACCACATGACATCACTGGATTTACTCCACAGTTTCTAATATTTGGAATTGAAGAAACTCCCACATTTGCATCTCCCGCTATCTCAATAGATGASGCTAGAAAACTTGCAAATGAACGTACAAGACAAGCACAAGCCACCCGCAAAATTCGATTTGATGATAAACATAAACACATTGTTTATGAACCTGGAGATCGAGTCATCCGTATAACACCTGCTAATCATCCAACGGTACAGAAGACATCACCACGATGGACAGGACCGTATTACATCATCGCACGTTATGGTGAAGTCACATACGACATCGCGGACACTTTGTCTGGTCCAACCTTTCGCGCTCACGTCTCTCAATTAAAGAAATTTATTCTACGAGAATAAATTTTCGTCAGCGAGGGGAGAATGTGATGAACCACAATTATTATACTTATATATATTTATATACATTTAATTAATTAATTTAAAAACATACTTACCAATTGATGTTTACATACATTCACATACACACACATACAAACATATACAAACACATGCATTCAGGGAAGCCGCCATTACAGGGGCGTTGACTCATACGCTATAGCAGTGGAGAGTCAACAGTGCTTAACATTATATGTTGGGGTACACTGTACTATTAATGCGTACACTACTATATAGTAGTACAGTGCTCCCATTTATATAAGTATACAATACTTACCATATATAACTGATTGAAATTCTCTATTTGTTGTAAATCTTATTTAGTCAATAATTTAGTAATTTTTAATATTTTTGTAGACTTTTTGTTATATTCGTGTTCTAGACTTTACACTTAACACAACTATATAAAACACAACACATAACTAATTATACTTTACTAATTATAACCAAATATTACATTTTACATTATAACTCCCATAGACCTGTCAATCATAGCATCCCTATGCTCTGGTTGCGTCACTGTATCTACAGTTGCGTAACTATAGAATATTCTGGAAGCATAGCCTTGACAGTACATTTATTGATTAGTAGAATCACTATATAATAATGCTTAGCATCCATTATTTTATCAGTTACTCGCTTGCTATCAAAGAGCACGCATCTCTTGTATTCAACTTATTATATTCCTATACACTATATTATATTATAATGTAAACAATATGTACTCACTATATATTTTAATGTGCACTTAACTTTAAATAAAATTAAGTTTTATTTCAATGTGAATATATACACTTGTGACGGCACCTAATGAACATTCGCCTTAATTAATATTATTTATTAATTATTTTCATCTTAATCATCAACAACACTCAACATTGGCTTTTCATCACAGCTTCGCTTCAATGACGGGAAAATCAACCCCACACCCGTCACAAAATAAATATTCAAAATTAATTATATAATTTTTTTTAACTTTAAAAATATTATATAATTAAGTCAATTGAATTAAATTTTAAAAGTTAAAAAACTAATTAATATTTTTTGAATTTATTTTAATAAAGTTAGTGAAAAAAAATGTAGACGTAATCTATTGATTGTTATATACAGTGTATATATGTTTGTATTAATAAATATTATGTAATAATAATATTATTAAATGTGTTTGTATTTCAAATAATTATTTTTTTTAAATTGAATTAAAATAAATAGTATTTAAAGTATTAATAATAACAATAATGCAATCAATTAGTGAATTGTTATGTGATTTAAGTCGATATGAATTATATTCAGCGATATATCGACTCAAACGTGAAGTCAATTGTTTGACAAATGATTTATTAAGATATCAATTGTTAACAAAAAAATATGAAAAATATCTGCAATTTATTGATACAATTGATGACACAATTATTGATGAAAATGAGATCAAACAGAGTATTAAATCACTGAATGATATCAACAGGTGTTCCGTGTCTTTGAATTTATTGAAACAATCGGATCACTTGATGAACACAAATGGTATTTAAAAAATAATTAGTTATTAAAAGTTTTAGTAAATTTATATTTTGTTTTAAAAAAATAGTCAACAAATCAATTGGTTGTCAAACATCTTCATCAACAACACTATCGATGAATGTGTGGACACAAACTCAAGACATTATTATTAGTATTATTACATATAAATCAAGTGATTGTCAAACAAGTGATGATTTCAATGATAATTACAATCAAAATATTAACAAAACAATTGAAGTTTTAAGTGATAGTGATATCAATGACTGCGATATCAATAGTATTATCAGTAATAGTGAATCAATTGATGAAAATTGTGATAACAATAATGTAAATCAAATAATAAATGGTATTCAATATTATAACTATTATTAGTATAATTAGTATAATTATTATTATTATTATTACTATAATTATTATAACTTTTATTAAATCTTTTTATTTTATTAATCAGATTCTAAATCAAGTGATAAATATAATAATAATAATACTGAAGATAACAATCAATTGATTGATGAATTAGTGATACCTGTATTGTCTGCCAATGAATGTAATGATAATAATAATATTAGCGAAACAATTATTGCCGATAAAAATGTCGCAAACAATTTGGTCATCAATGAAGACAACAATAACAACAACAATATTCAGACAAATAAAGTGAACAATGATTTGGATATAAGTAATGATAATAATAATAGAGATATTAATGAAGACATTGATTGTCAATCAAATGGTAGCGAAACAGATGTATACAACAGTTGTGATGGTTTACAACAACAACAGAGTAATAGTAGTGATGAAGAAGTCAAAGACAAGAAGAGAGTTAAACAAACAGTTAAGAAGAAGAAGAAGATTAAGAAGAGAAGTACCGATAATAAAGAAAAACTATTGAATATAACTGAATGCCGACAACCGGACGGTACATATCGGTGTCAATGGACGGACTGTATGCAAACATATAGACATTTACAAGATTTCAATCGACATATGCATAGACATAAGGGAACCTATAGGTGTGATATCGACAATGAGTGTCAGTATATTACCGATCGTCCGGGTCTTTTGAAAGCACATCGATTGASTCATACAAAGAATTCAAGTAATGAAATGAATAAAACAGTGGTAAAGAAGACGAAGAAGAAGAAGTTGAAGAAGAAAAAGTCAACGACAGCTGTTGTTGTTAAGAAGCGAATCATATCGGCTGATGAACTGAAAGCCATTGAATTGTTTGATACGAAAAAATGTCGACAAACTGACGGAACGTATAGGTGTCCATGGGTTGGATGTTCAAAACTATTGAACAGTCGTTCAGCGTTTAGTAAGCACCGACACCAACATTTGGGTACATTCAAGTGTCCGATCGATTCGTGCAATTTTATGGCCGACAGTAACAGTGGTTTGAAAATACATGAATCGGTTCATTCGGATGATAAGCCATACGAGTGCCGGGATTGTCGTAAATGTTATTCATCGAAACAYTTACTACATAGTCATCGATTGACTAAACATCCCGATGCCTATCCCGACATATCATATATGAATTGTCTGGAAACAGGTTGTACTTATCGTACAAAACTTTTGGGTGAATTTAATAAACATAAAGCAAGACATAGTTTACCAATTGTTTGCGCTGATTGTGGTAAACGTTTTCAAAGCAATTATATGCTTCGGGATCATCAAACCAAACACCAGTCGGTCAGACAACACAAATGTCAAGTGTGTGGCAAACAGTTTAAGTCGATTAAAGCCCAGACACATCATTATAGCCTACATCACCAACAAATGGACTATACCTGTGATTACAATGGTTGTAACGAGACGTTTACTATTAAACATTTATATCATAAACATCGGAAATCACACGTCAAGGACAACAACAATCCCCGTCCRCACGCGTGTGAGTGGCCGGGATGTGAGCGTAGGTTTATGAAAAGCGCTGAGATGACTTACCACATGAATACACATTCGGGTGATATTGTCTACCGGTGCTCGTGGCCTGAATGTGATAAGTCATTTATAGTAAAATCATCGTATGATATGCATGTGGCCCGACACCAGGGTAAAAATACWTACCGGTGCTCGTGGCCTGAATGTGATTACAGTACACAAAACACTRTTAGACTTAAAAGTCATATAATGAAACACAAGGATATAGTAGTCGACGAYAAATAGATATTATAMTAATTTACAATATTTTTTATATTTTATCATATTTTATATATAGTTAGCTAATTTATAGTTAACGCGATAATAATAATACTTTACATTATTTAGTATTACTGTTAAATTTATTTTTAAAAATAAAWWWAAMTAATTTATAAGTTTATTAAGTTTTTGTTTACTTCAACTTCAATCATCCAAAAGATATAAATTAAACCAATAAATATTACTGTATTTTAAAATAAAAATATATGTTTAATTAAAAAAAAAGTTATTTAAATATTTTTAAAATATAAATTTACTTACGTTATTATTGGCTAATATTAATTAAACTTAGCTAGTATATTTAACTTTGTAATAAAATGCTAAAATTAATTAATTACAGTTTGTAATATATATTATTTTATTATTATAAACTAATTTTTTAGTTTATTACCGTTAAGTTTAATAAGTTTATTATAACATTGTATAAATTATATTAATATTATTAATATTATATAATAAAATCAATTAAATTACAGTAAACTTATTTAATTAAATTTATTAGTTATAGTCAAATAAATTAATGTAAACGTAATCTATTGATTGATATGTAAATAAATATTATGTAATAATAAAAATGTTTTTTTTAAATTTATAAATTAAGTGATTATTATTAAATAATAATAATAATAATGCAATCAATTAGTGAATTGTTATGTGATTTAAGTCGATATGAATTATATTCAGCGATATATCGACTCAAACGTGAAGTCAATTGTTTGACAAATGATTTATTAAGATATCAATTGTTAACAAAAAAATATGAAAAATATCTGCAATTTATTGATACAATTGATGACAAAATTATTGATGAAAATGAGATCAAAMATAGTATTAAATCACTGAATGATATCAACAGGTGTTCCGTGTCTTTGGATTTTATGAAACAATTGGATCACTTGATGGACACAAATGGTATATATATAATATAAAAAATAAATAATAAATAGTTATTAAAAGTTTTTAATTAATTTATATTTTGTTTAAATCGTAAAATAGTTAACAAATCAATTGTTTGTCAAACATCTTCATCAACAACACTATCGATGAATGTGTGGACACAAACTCAAGACATTATTAGTAGTATTATTACACATAAAACAAGTGATGATAATAGCAATCAAAGTAATAGAAAAGTTTTAACTGATAGTAATGTCAATGACTGTAATATCAATAGTATTATCACTAATGAATTAAATGATGAAAATTGTGATAACAATGATGTAAATGAAGATAATTATAATACTAATAAAGTATTGACTAAATTAGTTAATAATAATAATAATAACTGTAATAATATTGACAACGAAACAGATGATGAAGAATATATAGAAGACATCTTACATGAAGACAATAACAATCAATTAACAAATGATAGCGAAACAGATGTATACAGTTGTTGTGGTGATGATGAAGAAGAAGAAGAATTGRTGGTAAAAGTTAGACAACAATCAGTGAAGAATAAAAAGAGTAAAACTGTGTTTAAATATCAATGCAATTTGAATGACTGTAACAAACGGTTCCGCAATGAATATATACTTAATAGACATAGAAATAGACATCAATTGGATAGTGATTTAAGTAATAATAATAATAATAATGACAACAATACGGGTGTCGACACTAAACAACAACAACAATATATCAGACAAAACAGTCATCAAAGACCAGGAGGAAGAGGAAGAAAGCCATCGAAGAGTAGTACCAGGTAAAGTAAACGACACTAAAGTTAGACAAACAGTTAAACAGAMGAAGAAGACGAAGAAGAAACTAAAGCGAAGTCTAACCGAAGATGAACTGAAAGCCAAGAAACTGTTTAATACGAAAAAATGTCGTCAACCGGATGGCCGATATAGGTGTCCATGGGATGGCTGTTCAAAGATATTTAACTTATACAATTCGTTGCTACAGCACCGGCACATACATTTGGGTACATACAGGTGCCCAATACCTGATTGCGGGTTTCAAACACGTAGTGACTATGCTTTGAAAGTACATCAAACTATACATTCATCGGACAGATCGTTTAGATGYCGTGATTGTGRTAAATGTTTTTCCMGAMAACATTTRCTWWACTGTCATCGATTGRTAGTACATCCCGAAGCCTATCCGAACATACCGTTTAGGGAGTGTCCTGAACCCGGTTGTACTTATCGTACAAAACTGTTTAAATCATTCAAAAAACATGAACAACAACATAGTCTACCAGCTAGTTGTCTGGATTGTGGTAAACGTTTCAGAAGTAATTATGACCTCCGGCTACACCATCAATCCAGACACCAGTCGGTTAAACAATTTAAATGCCAATTGTGTGGCAAACTGTTTAAATCAATTAGAAATCGTAGAAATCATTATCAGTTACATCATCAACAAGCAGACTATCAATGYGATTACGATGGCTGTAACCAAACGTTTACTATTAAACATCAATATCTTAAACATCGGAAAACACACGTCAWAGACAACAACCCGATGTCGATCTCCGTCCGCAYGTGTGTGAGTGGCCGGGATGTGACCGTAGGTTTTTGTCAAACTCTGATATGACATACCATATGAACTCGCATACGGGTGCCACTGTCTACCGATGCGATTGGCCAGAATGTGATAAGTCATTTATAGTAAAATCATCATATGTAATGCATATGGGCCGACATCAGGGTAAACATACCTACCAGTGCTCGTGGCCTGAATGTGATTACATAACACAAAACACTGTTAGACTTAAAAGTCATATAATGAAACATAAGGGTATTCAGTAGTCGACGACAAATAGATATTACGTTAGAATTTCAGTAAATATTTATCTTAAAATATTTGAAAAAATTTTCTAAACTATTTATATTATTATAAATTAATTTAATTAAAAGTTAAAATTTTTATTTTATAGTTTATTTATTTTTTTTATTACACATAATTATAAATTTTTTTTACAAAAAAATACTATAACATTAAGGCAATCATAATTAAATAGTTTAATAATGTTTAAACTATTTTCTAAACTAAACTAAAATTAAATAATGATAACAACAACAAAAAAGTTTTAAAATTAATTATTATTTAATATTATATTCAATTTAAAGTTATTATTATTATTGGTAGACGTAATCTATTGTAAATAATTTATAAAAATAAATAAGTATTAATATGTAATTTTGAGTTTTATTTTAGATTATTTAAAAAATAAAATAAAATTATTTGTCATAAATGTCTGAATGTTATTCAAATTTAGTGATTATTTTTAAGTAATTAATTAAAATAAATAATAATAATGCAATCAATTAGTGAATTGTTATGTGATTTAAGTCGATATGAATTATATTCAGCGATATATCGACTCAAACGTGAAGTCAATTGTTTGACAAATGATTTATTAAGATATCAATTGTTAACAAAAAAATATGAAAAATATCTGCAATTTATTGATACAATTGATGACACAATTATTGATGAAAATGAGATCAAACAGAGTATTAAATCACTGAATGATATCAACAGGTGTTCCGTGTCTTTGGATTTTATGAAACAATTGGATCACTTGATGGACACAAATGGTATATAAAAAATAAATATATAAATAGTTATTAAAAGTTTTTAATAAATTTATATTTTGTTTTAAAAAAAATAGTTAACAAATCAATTGGTTGTCAAACAAGTCATGATTTTATTGTTGATAATAATAATAATAATCAAGTTTTAAGTGATAGTGATGTCGATGACTGCGATATTAATACTAATATTATAAGTAATGAATCAATTGATGAAAAAAATTGTGATTATAATGATCTAAATGACAGCATATTTGATGAAACATTAAATGGTATTCAAAAAAATAAATAAAATTTTAATTTATTATTATTATTATAATTAATTTATTTTATTTTTTATTTCATTATCTATAATCAGATTTTAAAACAACCGATGAATTTAATAATAATAATAATAATAATAATACTAAAGATAACAATCAATTGAATAATAAAGTGATACCTGTATTGTCTGCAGACAATGATGTCGTCATCACTGAAGACAACAATATTCAGACAAATAAAGTTAAAGATAATAATAAAACAGTGATAAAGAAGAAGAAGAAGAAGTCGACGACAACTGTTGTTAAGCGAATCAAATCGGCTGATGAACTGAAAGCAATGAAATTGTTTGATACGAAAAAATGTCGTCAACCGGATGGCCGTACCTATCGGTGTCCATGGGATGGATGTTTGAAAACATATAGAGATCTATCAGCGTTTTACAAGCACCGACACCTACATTTAGGTACATACCGTTGTCCAGTCGATGGATGCAGTTTTGTAGGCACGTCTAGCGTTGATCTGAAAATACATCAAACAGTTCATTCGGATGATAAGCCATACGAGTGCCCGGATTGTGGTAAATGTTTTTCACTGAAAAAACTACTCAATACTCATCGATTGACTAAACATCCCGATGCCTACCCGGACATATCATTTATGGTGTGTCAGGAAACTGGTTGTACATATAGGACGAAAAAATTAAGTGAATTTAATAGACATAAACGCCGACATAGTCTGCCAATTGTTTGTCCTGATTGTGGTAAACGTTTTTCAAGCAATTATCTGCTTCGTGATCATCAAATCAGACACCAGTCGTCTGTCAAACAACACAATTGTCGATTGTGTGGCAAACAGTTTAAGACTAGACTTTATTTCGATAGACATTATCGACTATATCACCAACAAATGGACTACCATTGCGATTACGATGGCTGTAACGAAACGTTTACTATTAAACACCAGTATCTTAAACATCGGAAAATACACGTCAATGACAACAATGTCGATACCCTTCCGCCGCACGCGTGTGATTGGCCGGGATGTGACCGTAGGTTTAAATACAACGGTGAACTGGAAGACCATATGAATACACATACGGGTGCCACTGTCTACCGGTGCTCGTGGCCTGAATGTGATAAGTCATTTCTTAGTAAATCAGCAATTGTAGGTCATATGCATCGACACGAGGTTACCCGACAAAATACCTACCAGTGCTCGTGGCCTGAATGCAATTACAGTACACCAGACACTGTTAGACTAATGAATCATCTAATAAAACACAAGGGTGTCGTTGATTAGTCTAATTAATTAATATATAAAAAATTTTTATATTTTATTAAATTTTTTAATTGAATTTTTATTTATATTACATACAGTGTATAATAAAGTCATACAATTAGACACAAAGATATAGATTTTTTTTTGTAATTAATTTTCTAATAATATTTACATAACTATATAATAGATATGTATATAAATTGTTTTTTTCTAAATTTTTTTCTAATTATTTTATTAAACAAAATAGTTAAATAAAAGTTTTTTTTTAAATTTAATTACCGATATTATTAATTTAATATCAATATCAATAAATATATATCTTTTTATTTTTGTTTGTGTTATATTTAGCACACTTATTAAATAATAATTATTACAGTAATTATTAGTTTTAATTTAGATATTATAATTTGATTGTATTTTAACAATTATATTATTTGTTTTTTTTATCTTGAATTACAATTTTATTATTATTATAATTATTTAATTATTTTATACAATATATATTAGTACAATATACTGTATATTTATTTATAATTATATCTTGTATTTTTATTTTATTTAATTATAAAATATCCAGGTGCATTAAGTTCGTTTTTAATACTAATAATAAATTAATCTTAAAATTTGATTTACTATTGTATAATATTTTTATCTGTACTAAAACACTATTAATAAAAGTTAATTTGATTTATCAATATATATATATATATATATATACTGTATATATATATTACTGTATCAATCAATATGTGAACTTGAAAATATACCAGTATTAAAAATTTCCTAATTAACAGGTGTACACAATAAAAAAAATATAATAAGTTAATAATATTTATATATATATAGATATATATTTAAAAAGTAAATTTAATTAAAAGATAATTTATTAGTATTTTATAATTATTTTTTTCTAGAAATTAAATTCAATTAATTTTATGGAAAAAATAACATTTGTTAAATAATTAATTTTTATAAATTTGTAATCCAAAAAATCACTAATTAATGTTATATGTTTAAGTTATTATTGAATCAATAATAATAATTATTTATTATTAAAATTAACAAACAAAACAAATAAAAATAGTAATTATTATTATTTGTTTTATCAAGTTGAAATTGATAAAACAATAATATTGAACATTTTTTCATAATAATTATTGTTTTATCAAACATTTATATATATATATTAAATTTATCATGCTCAATATTTGTATTGACACATTTTTTTAATATCAGTTTCAGTTTCAATTTATAATTAATTGCTATTTATACAAATTAATTGATAATATATTTTTATTTTTTTGGAAAAAAATAATATTATTTATTGATATTACTTCACATATTTATTTAATTATGAGTTACGAAACCTAACTGTTCCTACCCCCACTTTACCAATACCTCCCCTCCCTATTCAACAAATCTACAGTATATAAATGACAGCTCTGGGGGAACGGTATATCAAATCAATCAGGTGTATACTGCCTATTGTATCCAACAATCATAAAACAAAACTATGAATACAATAGTACTATTGCTGTCKGTGTCGATAGCCGGTGTCCTATCGACACCATTGGCCAAAATGTTTGACCCRTTTGGGCCATTCATGCAAGGTGAACTGTTGGCCAATGGTACCGGCACCGGTAGTTTCATACCACAGGCCCGTGCAATCAATTTTGATTCATTTCATCAGCTATTCAAGGTATGGTAGATATCCATATGTTATTATTATCCATTTTAAAAGCACAGGTATCTAATTAAACTGTACATATCATATATATATATATATATATATATATATATATATATATATATATATATATAGCAAACACTTGACGAAAGTACCGATCAATTGGACAAACTTTTCAGTACATTTAAAACCACATTTGGAAAGTCATACAAAACGGTTGCCGAAGCCAACAAACGTAAGRGTATATTCCGCGAAAATTTGTTGAAAGTATTCCGTCATAATTCGGATGCGGCCACTGGCCGATCATTGTGGACCCAACAAGTCAACCAGTTTGCCGATATGACACTGGACGAGATAGTTCACGGAGTAGTCGGCCAGTTTCCGGCTCATCCCTATCCGCAACCGTCAGGCGCTGCTGTACTGAATATCAGTACCCGGGCTGACAAAAACGGCCAAAAGGACAGTTGGATATACGATTGGCGTACCGTTCACGATGTAACACCCGTCCAGAATCAGGTATAGATCGGTCATCATATTTAAAGGGGAGGAAAGTTATTATAATTTTGTTTGTTTGCCATCACCACCACCACTGCTCAGGGAGGTTGCGGTTCGTGTGTCTACTTTGCTGCCGCTGCCCTAACCGAAACCTGTTGGGCCCGACACGGTCACGGACTGGTCGTACTGAGTACCCARCAGTTGAACGACTGCGCCCGCGACGAGKCMCGGGGTAATCACGGGTGCGAACACGGCGGCGGTACTTTTGTACCGACGTTTGACTATATTAAGGCTCACGGACTGACATCGATGCAAAACTATCCCTATATGGCTAAGGTATGTATAAGCGCTTATCATATTTTTTGTTTGTTTACTAATTTATGTTATATCTATGTTATGATATAGGATGGCCAGTGTGACCGTACAAAAGAGTCGCAAGTTGTAGCCCGTATATCCAGTTGGACACCAGTCAGGCCGGCCGGCAACGAGGAGGTGCTCCGATTGACCATCCAGGATCATGGACCGGCTGCCGTAGCCATACACGTTTCGGACGGCTGGGCCCGATATAAGCAAGGTATTTTTGACGAACCGTGCGCGGGTGGTCGCAATCATGCAGTGTTGGCCGTCGGTTACGGCTATGATGGGCCGTCCAATAAGGACTACTGGATTGTCAAAAACCAATGGGGCGAAGGTTTCGGTGAGGGCGGCTATATTAGGATGAGACGTAACAATAATAATATGTGCGATATTGCCGGCGATGCCGTTTGGGTCGACTAATAATATTAATAGTATAAAACCACCCTGTTTTCCCCCATCCGTTCCCAATCCCGATCCCCTCTCCCCCGCCACTAAAAACCCACCCACCCATCCATTGATTGAAATATTATAAATACATACACACATAGTGTTAACTAATATTAAGTCTATAAATGTATTATAC